CTGGGGCCAACTGGTCAACAGGGGCTACCTGGGGTCAATAGGGGGTCCTGGGGTCGTCTGGGGTCACCTGGGACCATCTGGGTCAACTGGGGTACCTTCTGTCCCTTAATTAATCCCATAACACCTGCTCTCTGTTTCTATCATTTCGACCTAAACGCAGCAATTCCTCAGGGTGGGATCCGTTTGCCTCTGCTCAGAGCAGGATTCCAGCAGCTAAAAATCCTTGCTCTGTCTCACGGGACCCCCCCAAAACACCCCGTCCCTGCCCCTTCCCTCCCTCCCTCCCTCCCCGCAGGGTCCTCAAGCACTCGGTGGACGCGACGTACGAGAACCAGGGCCCGAGCCCCGGGTACCGCATGGAGATGTCCATCTTCTACGTCGTCTACTTCGTCGTCTTCCCCTTCTTCTTCGTCAACATCTTCGTGGCCTTGATCATCATCACCTTCCAGGAGCAAGGGGACAAGATGATGGAGGAGTACAGCCTGGAGAAGAACGAGGTGCCCCCTCTGCGACCTCCTTTTGGGGGGTTTTGGGGGGTAGTGAGAGCCTTGGGCAGAAGTTGTTAAAGAAGTCACGAGGTGCAGAAAGAACCCCCCTTGCTCCCTAAACTCAGAGAGGAGCCCCTGGTTTTGAATCCAGTCTCGGCCTGGGATTGTGTCGGCCGATTAAATTGAAGTTTAAATTTAAGTCTAAATTTAAATTGAAGTTTAAATTGAAGTTTAAATTGTAGTTTAAACTGAAGTTTAAATTTAAATTTAAGTTTAAATTTAAATTCAAGTTTAAATTTAAGTTTAAATTTAAATTGAAGTTTAAATTTAAATTGAAGTTTAAATTTAAGTTTAAACCCTTGTCAGGGTTAGACCCTCCCAACACCCAAACCAAGCAGAGCTTGGGTTGTTTGGGGTGTCTGGATGGATTTTAGGCCTTGTCAGGGTTAGACCCTCCCTCCAGAGGCCTCTCTGGGGTGGGTGACCAGAGTGGTGACTCCTGACAGAGAGCTTGGATTGTTTGGGGTCTCTGGATGCGTTTTAAGCCTTGTCAGGGTTAGACCCACCAAAACCAACCAGAGCTTGGATTGTTTGGGGACTCTGGATGCATTTTAGGCCTTGTCAAGATTAGACCCACCCAACATCAAAACCAACCAGAGCTTGGCTCGTTTGGGATCTCTGGATGCATTTTTAGGCCTTGTCAGGGTTAGACCCTCCCGTTTGGTGTCTCTGGATGCATTTTTAAGCCTTGTCAGGGTTAGACCCACCAAAACCAACCAGAGCTTGGGTTGTTTGGGGACTCTGGGTGGATTTTAGGCCTTGTCAGGGTTAGACCCTCCCAACACCCAAACCAACCAGAGCTTGGGTTGTTTGGGGTGTCTGGATGCGTTTTAAGCCTTGTCAGGGTTAGACCCACCAAAACCAACTAGAGCTTGGCTCGTTTGGGATCTCTGGATGCATTTTTAAGCCTTGTCAGGGTTAGACCCTCCCGTTTGGTGTCTCTGGATGCATTTTTAAGCCTTGTCAGGGTTAGACCCACCAAAACCAACCAGAGCTTGGGTTGTTTGGGGACTCTGGATGGATTTTAGGCCTTGTCAGGGTTAGACCCACCACAACCAACCAGAACTTGGGTTGTTTGGGGTCTCTGGATGGATTTTAGGCCTTGTCAGGGTTAGACCCTCCCAACACCCAAACCAACCAGAGCTTGGGTTGTTTGGGGTGTCTGGATGGATTTTAGGCCTTGTCAGGGTTAGACCCTCCCTCCAGAGGCCTCTGGGGTGAGTGACCAGAGCGGTGACTCCCCACGGAGATCTTGGCTCGTTTGGGGTCTCTGGATGTATTTTAGGCCTTGTCAGGGTGGGTGACCCCCCGTGTCCCCCCCTTTTCCCCAGAGGGCCTGCATCGACTTTGCCATCAGTGCCAAGCCGCTGACCCGGCACATGCCCCAGAACCGCCAGAGCTTCCAGTACCGCATGTGGCAGTTCGTGGTGTCCCCCCCCTTCGAGTACACCATCATGGCCATGATCGCCCTCAACACCATCGTCCTCATGATGAAGGTGGGCGGGTGGGCGGGGGGCTTGGGGGGCACCGGGGAGTCCCCTCGGGGGTTGTTCTTGGTCCCCGCAAACCCCCTCGGGGAAGGGGAGTGTCTGGGGGTCCCTGAGGGGGTTGGGGGTCTCTGAGAGGGGGTAATTGGGGGTCCCTGGGGGGTTTTGGGGGTCCCTGATGGGGGTAATTGGGGGTCCCTGGGGGGGTTTGTCCTCCTCTGTCCCCTCTGGGAGGTGTCGCTGTCCCCTGGAGCTGGAGCTGGACTGTGCTCCTGGATCCATCCCTGTCCCCCAGGGTCTGTCCCTGCCCCTCTGGATCCATCCCTGTCCCCCAGGGTCTGGCCCTGTCCCCCCGGATCCATCCCTGTCCTCCAGGGTCTATCCCTGTCCCCCTGGATGCATCCCTGTCCCCCTGGATCCATCCCTGTCCCCCCGGATCCATCCCTGTCCCCCTGGATCCATCCCTGTCCCCCAGGGTCTG